GAGACACACGGAGACACACGGAGACACCCCGTCACACTCCTGCTGCCTCTTTCTCGACGGACACGGTCACGGACCACCTCCTGTCTGTCCCTCGACGTGTCTCTCGTGTAATTGATGGACACACGTTTGTCCATTTCACAGAATCAAACTTCAGACCGAGGATTTTTCACTGCGTCACAACTTGAGTTTTACTTTCACTTTACGGCAGAACACTTACCCGCGCTGAGGACCGGGAACATCGAGAGGAGACCGAGGACAGACACGAGGAAGAAGACAGGACAAGTGTCCACCTTGTTCTTCATCGTGTTCTTCATCGTGTTCTTCTTCTTCTCCTTGTTTTTCTTCTCTTCTTCTCTTCTTCTCTCTCGCTCTCTCTCTCTCTCTCTCTCTCTGCTTCTTCTTCCGCCCAGCGACTCCACTGTGCGGTGCGTTCAGGGGCGGCTCGGGAAAGTGCGCATCGAGTCACTTCCTGGTCACGTCACATTAAAACGGTTCCAAAACAATTCAAATAGAATGTAATAAACATCAAGTATAATAAAAACCATGCGGACTTCCGGAACGAAGTGAAGGAATCGAACTTCTGAGTTTTTTTATTTCCTCTTTTTTCACTTCAAGCCGACAAATCAACACATTTACAAAGTAAAGTTGTACTTTCACTTCATATCTCTGTACATTTATTATGAGTGAAACTCTGGATGTGACCACATGTCGGACATTTACACTTGATGCTGACAAAGACTCGTTTTCTTTCTGGACATTCGTTCATCGATGAATAAATATCTCTGTGTTCTTTTTATTCCTCGACTCTTATCTGACTTCGGTTCCTTAGATTTGAATTTTATTCTTTTTTCTCAAATGTAAAATTAAATTTGATGGATTCACGTTTATTAAATGAAATCTTCCTCATTTTAAAGGCACATGAGCAACATTTGCTTGTGATGAATCATTTAATACATTTTTCATTCGTGTATTTTTCCTTTTCTTCTCTTTCTTTTCCATAAAAAACATCATCAGTTCCTCTTGTCCTCCTCTGAACCCCCCCTCCCCTCATCCCTCCATCCCTGGTCAGTCCATCTTTTCCTCCCGAAGCGGAAACCGAAGCCCCCCTTCTCCCTGTTGACAGCTTGGAGCCCCCCAATGATGGAGGTCAGAGCTTCGTTCCTCTTCCCGCCTTCCTCCCCCTCTCCTCCATCTTGGTAGCGGTAGCTCTCCAGAGAGTGACCCTCAGGGAAGGGCGGCAGTGGCCGGGCCATCAGGTCTCCTCTCTGGGTTCTCAGCAGCGCCTCCTCCCAGGACCCGTCCTCCTCGGCCTCCTGCCCAGGCTCCAGCAGCTCTTGATGGACAGGCCGAGGGGCGACGAGCTGGTCCAGAGCCGCCTGGTGCCGCAGCACAGACTCCAGATCAGATCCGTCCACTGTGTCGGCGAAGGAGAGGGGGCACGACCACACCCTCCATGGGACGGGGCAGAGGAGGGTGAGGAAGAGGAGGGTGAGCTGAGAGGCCTCGAGATGGAAAGAAGATCTCATCTGAAAACAGACACAAGAGGTTCTTTTACTTCAGCCTCCGTCCGTTCGTCCCACTCTCGTTAACGAAACATCTCAGAAACACTTAGAGGTCATTATTTCAAATTTGGTAAAAAAAAGTTCATCTGGAAATTTGATTTTGTTTTCAAAGGTACAAAGCTCAAAGTCACATGACCTCAAATTATCAGGAATGCTCAAAACTATTTCATTCCATCTGCATCAAACATATTAATGTGATTAGATGTTGATGGTCTAAGGTCAAAGGTCACTGTCACCTCACAATGCACTTTTA